GGGGGGGGGGGGACAAATAGGGCTGGAGGTCTTTCTTGAGACACCACTGGCCCCAGTGGAAGGGACAGAGCTGTCCCTCATCCTGAAGCAGGCCTCACCCCACACCTGTGTTTACAAAGCCACAGAGTCCTCAAAAACAGGCCACTCGCACTCCAACTGTGCCAGGGAGACAGGACCTAAACTCTGGGGCTACAAGGAAAGGTAGATTCTCAGGAGGCCACTTCTGATACTGAGGGCAGGGAGAAGGGCGCGGAGCCCATGCCCCAGCAGGTGAAGGAAGCGGAGAAGGGCCGTGGGAGTCAGAGAAGAGCGACCGATGCAGGAGAGTCAGAGGCAGCAAGACTCGGAGGCGGCTGAGCAGAGGCCAGAGAGTATTTGTGAGTAGAAACTACCTTTCATGGGCATTTTCCTCAATCTCTTAACTGAGCTGTGACTTTTAGAGGCCAGACAGGAGGCGGGAGGACTGGTGGGCTGGGGTGCGCGGCTAAGACACACAGGGAGTCCAATGGCTGACATCAGAACACTCGTCATGCCTACACGGGGTGCAAGATCAGACATGCAGAGGGGAGAAACATTAGGAGTCAATTGGCACATGACGTCCACAAACCCCAGCTGAGCCCAGGAGGCACTGAACAGCCATCAGGACTCACCGGTCTCCCTGGAGAATCTGGCAGCTCCAGGCTGCCAGGGCCTACCCGGGCTGGCAGGTCTAAGCTCCAGGCAAGCAACCAGTGAGATGCCTGGCTCATTGGAGTCCTGGCCCCAAGTTCTACAGGTGCCTATCAAGCAACTGATCAGCTTGCACCCAGAGCATGCAGGAGGGTGAGGCCATTTGCTTCAGGAGAACATAGGGCAGAATGCCAACCCAAGAAGTCTTGTGAGCAGTTCCAGGTGGTGTCCCCCCATGCCAGGCACAAGGAGAAAGAGCAGAAGGGGAACATGGAAGGGTGCAGCCAAGCTATGGGAACATGGACAGGCTCTTAAGCTCACAATCCTCCCAATGTACCCCCTGCATACCCCCTTGGCTCCTAGTCATTGCCACCAGCGGGGTGCTGTCTGCTTTCCATGCCCCATCTGGACTATCTAGGTGGCTTCAGTATCACTGCTGGGGTGGGCGAGTAGGAATGCTGACCCCTACACCTGCTCCCCAACTGAGGCATCCCCACAGCCCATGTGACTGCTCCTCTGGAGCAGCACAAGTCCCAGGCCATGGCTTCCTCCTCTGGTACCCTCAGCAGAGGCTTAAATAGCCGTCTGCCCTGAGTGGGCATGCCCATAGGGGGAGGGAGCTGCAGCAGACAGCCCTCCTGAGATGGACTGCCCATTCTTGTCACACTTCCTGATGCATACAGGGGGAGGCCTCACTCCTCAGCCTGATGCTCCTTCACCCCCCACTGTTCCCTGAGGACTCGACACTTTCTGGAACACAGCATGTCCTCCTATTGGAGTCCCTATTCCTACCACTCTCTCAGCCTATCCTGCTATCCACAGCACCACCAGCCCAATCCCTCCTGTCCTCAGCCTGGCTCAAGAGCACCCCCTCTTGAGGGGAGCTCTGGGCTTCTCCTTGAGCACCTCCCTGAGTGTGGCATTCGGGTCCCTCAGAATCTGGCTACAGAGCTGGGCACAGCCTGAGGTAGGAAGTGGAGATCCTGGCCCTGCTGGGTCCCATTCTCCATCTTGGCCAGGCCAAAAGAGCTGCCTACTCCAGAGGCAATTCAGAGGGGTGAGGTGACACCTGGCCTTGGGATCCATCAGGCCAGCCACTGTGGCACCTACCAGAACAAAGGCTCTCAACGTGACAAACATGGCGTTCAGGGACAGAAGCAGGTGCCAGCCAGCAGCCTGGGTGGCACGGCTGAGGCCGATAGGGTATGCTGTGGTGGCTGCTCAGCAGGAGACCTCAAAGTACACATCAGAAGACCAAAGTTGGACTCTGGGTGCCTGCTCATCAGGTAATGCAAAGCCACCAGTGTCCCAAGGTTCGTTCATGGGCTCAAATGTGGATTCATACCCTTGGGAACTAAATGTCAGGCAGACTGAGTAACAAGCAAACATGAGGGGAGGAGGGGACAAAAAGACGGAGAAAGCAGGAGCAATCCCTTAGGACCTCTGTAATGACCATAACCTCTTCCTCAACATCAGCTAGCTCCCACTTCCACCAGCCCTCTCCTCAAGCATCATCTCAGCAGGCAGCCCTTCCATGACCACCGCATCTACAGGGGTCACATTCCCCTCCAACTCTGTGTCCTTTTCTCTGCTTAGCATTCTTACCACATGAGGGGACTCATTTATCTGTTTTTTTGTGATTGTCTTTCCCCACACAGAGCACCTAGGGCAGGGGAGGGTCACAGGAGATGCACAGTATCTGCTGGGGAACACAGACACCCATCATCAGCTCCCAAGAAGCTGGCATGAACAATGCTCCTGCCCTTTTCAAGGAAGGACCCTTTCCCCTGAATTCAAGTCACAGACACAGGTCTCCACTTAGAAACCTGCAGGTCTGCCTTGTGAAAAAGTGTGAAAATCACCCCCTATCAAACACTGCATAGAGGCAGTGTCCAGTGGACAGGATGGTCAGGGGACACTAAGACTGGACCATCACATCTTCCCCAACAGCAAGGGCTCAGGACAGCCACCTAAAGTCCTAACATCCAAACTGTAACAGCTCAGATAGCCACAGCTTTTCTTCTACTCATCTGATCTGTCAGAGCCCCCAGAGATTGCAGTCCTCTGCACAGGCAGATGTGTAAATACCCCTTTTCTGACATCAAGGGTTGGCCTTTCATCCAGTGACCAGGGCTCAGGTCCAAGCTTATTCTCCTCCGGCTCTGGCTTTGCCAAGCAAGATTCAAGCCCGGCACCACTCCTCCCTGGCTGACTGGTCTTGGCAGGTTGCAGTAGATACTCCTCCTCCCTAGGTTCCCTAGCTGGGAACCTAGCCCCAGCATCACCCCCCCCCCCCC